AAATTTTTATTTAAGTTTTAAAAAGTGTCGGTGGGCATTTGAAATTTTATATGTAAATAACATGTAAAAAAATTAATTTTCATTTGAAATGTTATAACTTTTGAACCGTTATAAAGAAGGGATATACGTTTTTTCTGGGCATATTCTTGTAGGATATAAAATTCTCTAAAAGCTGACCCTGAAGTTGATTGTCTTAGAGACGTTTAAGAGTATTAAATATGTTTATGATATTACTGAACGAGATATAGCGTTGATACAAAATTATAGTTAAACTTTGACGAAATACGAAGAACAAGCAATTTCTTTTGCAAGTAATACAACGACAATTAAATAATTTAAAAAGAAATAGTCAAAACTTGTTAATATGTGGCGGTCTTATAATTATGTAACACAGTGTACTATTAAATCGTTTGAATTGTGCTTTGAGAAACTTTGAATTGTTAATTTATTCGTTATTTATGTGTTTCAATGTGGAGAATTCGTCCTCCTGGAATGTAAAAAAATTCTGGTCACCTCAATATTATAGACATCACTACAATAGTTAAGAAGTTATGTCTATTTAATTACAAAAATTAAAGAATTTTAGCTCAGAGAACGTTTTTGCTTGCATTCTTACCCTTATGTACGAAAAACTACGTTCATCTGAATTATATACCAGTGACCCAAACAAAAACTGGGACGCGACATTTGGGCAAGTTTTGGCTATTTTCCTTTAGTTTTTTTTTTTAATTTTTATTATTTTTCTATGACAGCAAAACTGATTACTTAACAAACACCATATAAATCCAAATTTCTGACTTTGTGGAAAAATTATTAAAATTCTGCAAAATTTCACCAAAATTTCAAACTTTTTAATCAGCATCTTTATAAAAAATGGTATGCAGTTTTGTTGACCATTTAATTTTAGTACAATAAAATATAAATATGAAGTAGCTAAGGCTTCCCGTTGATTTTTGGCAATTTTTTATATCGAATACACATATATGTACAGTTGGTGGTTGGTTGAAGTACTTCAATCTTTTAGGAGCTTGCTGCTCATCTTCGCTAAAGGTATTTGAGGAACGACCCCGTCGGTTTTCATTTTGAAATGTTGAAGAAATTGTTGCAAGAGTATTAGCCAATCCTTTTCTAAAGGCAAGTAAGTCCATTTGGTCTTTCTTAGGTATATCATTTTTATCTGCATCCGCTTTATACTCGAACCAACTCGCCACTATTGCCATGTCAAAGAAATGAATAATAACGCGTGGGGTCCACTTTTTAGATTTTATGAAAATACGGTAATGCTGCAACATTTGATCAAGAAGATCTACGCCACCCATTCCATTATTATAAAGCTGCACAACTTCAGGTCTATCAATCTCAATATACCGCTTTTCTTTTTTCTCGTATCGTTCTACTTTGTCTTTGATGCCAATTCCCACAAAGTTGGATGCTAAGTAAACTCCTTTGTTGTCGAACCATTTTGTGACAATAACTTTTCCATCTCGGCTCGCCACTTGTTCAGCACAACCGCGACCTTTCTTTCGCATTACAGCATCTGTGGAGAGAGGTGGGTTCCGAAAGCGATTTATACGAATTGTGCCAGCTGCTAGAATTTTCCTTTTCTCGAAAATTTCAAGTAGAGAATACGTGGTGAAGAAATTATCTGTGTAAACTTGGTGACCAGCTGAATCTTGGGGCACTCTTTTTAGCAGCTGTAATGTGATGGAAGCACCAAACCCAAGTTTGTTGATAAGGCTTGGTTCAATTTCAGTGGATGAGCCCTGATAAGCAATGAAATCATACGGCATTCCACTTTTTCCACAAAGCACATAGAGTTTTATACCCCATGGACAAGGTTTACCACGTATATACTGCTTCATTCCCAGGCGCCCTGTAAATGGTATAATCTGTTCGTCAACGCAAAGAGTTTCCTTCAACTGGTGCTCCAATAATCGCTTCCGAATCGCATCCATAATTGGTCTCACTCGATGAAATTTGTCATTGTTTTTTGGGGGAAGACAAGTATCCACTAAATGCAAATGTGTTCGTAGCGCATAAAAACGATTTCTTGTCATATTACTAGTGAAAATTGGCAACGCTGTACCTTTCTCCCAGACCATTGCTACCCGTGGAAACTTCAATATACCCATCATACAATGTAAAGCGAAGAATTGCCGAATTTCTCTTGGACTAGTTGGCTGAAAATTTGATTCTTTCTGCACACTATACAGATTAGTGAAATTGGAAACATCTTCAAAAAAATTGGGGCGGTAAATATTTTTGAAAATATTCGTATTCACTTTTGACTGCTGTAGGCAACTGTACAGGCGGAAC